ATATTCAATTAAAAATATTAAAACTAATGTTAGAAAATAATAAGTTTGTTAGATCATACATTTATTTTTATTTACATATTTTTATATATTTAAATTACACTTTTTAACAAAATTTTTTTTTTTTACAAAATTGTTGTGCATTACATTTTTTCTCATTTAAAAAAACAGTTCTAGACCTCTACTTAAAGATAATCCTGTATACATTGAGAATCAATTTGTACGAAGGCACGAGGCGGAACAATTTTTATAAAAACCCCATGATGATAAATTTATTTTTTTTTTTTTTAGATTTATAGCCTTAGACTTCATCATAATTTTCACAAAAAATCATAGCTTGCATATAACTGTTGACTGATTCTCGAGATTTACAGTCTGTGCATTTGTATGTGAATGTTACGATCGTTCGTTTTTGAGCTACATACATAGGAATTTACTCAGTTACTCTCATTCTACGATCGTCAATCGTATATTTCCAACATCACACGAGGTACTCAACAATACGAAGAGACCCGAAAGCTCTTGCTCAGAGCGAGGGCGATTGAACAAGATTTTTCAGGAATCCATGGGTTAATAGTTATTTGCGATCGATGCAAGATATATATATATTATTTAAATGATATATATTTATATGCATTTTCCGTAAACATTTTTAAGTACATTCAACAGTCACACCAAATATTTTAATAAATTCCTCAAAGTATTTGTTAGATTAATAATTTAACTTCAATTGAATGCAAGAATATTCCTATACAAATACATTTAAATCAAAAATTCAGTGATACATTTTAAACAATTCAAATTAATAGGTTTAACATAGAATACGTATTAAATATTTAAGACCGCCAGACTAAAGCTATGGCACATACAAATGTTTGCAAAAAAATCTGTTTGGGACTTTAACCCAAATTAAATCACAGATTTAGTTGTGCAAAAAAAAAAAAAAAAGAAAAAACAGAGAATCAAGGCAGTGCCACGCCCACATGCCCAGTGACCTTGCGTCAGCATAAACAAGTTAAGCCCAAATAAAAACATTTTGCTTAGTGAATTTATTTTGTAAACGACCTTGTCAACAGGATGATGAACACGTTTTACAAATATTTGCGTACAAATTGCATGTGGCTGTGCCGCCATGTGTGCGAGTGTATGTGAGTGAATGTGTATGTGTGCGTGTGTGTTAGCATGCATGAGTTACATCTAGTCAATGTTGATTTTGGCTACTGTCCGCCTAGGCAACATCTGCTTGGCTCAAATTGAAATAACCATGATATAAATTTAATTCAATTAAGAGATTCGGTTAGGCAGCTTTAAGAGCCATTTTGGGGTGACGTAGGCGTGGCATTGAAGTTGTAGCTGGCGCTACAATAACTACGGCAAAACCCCATTAACATTTTCATGGCAAAAGTTTCGACTAATTGCATTTATGGCATAAAGCCTCAAAGTTCAAAATCACAACCAAAAAACATAGCAGAAAATGCAATTAGCACTCGAAATGCCGGGGAAAAAAAACGCTCC